GCAATTGTTCTGGCCGGGTTGGGAATGCAGGTTCCATTTAGGGGTCTGTACCTTTACCTCATGTCAGAAAACATTGGGTGACTGGTAATGGGAATTGGAAACCCAGAGTCAGACCCAGCCTTGATGTGGAGGTGCTGGTGTTGGACTGGGGTGGACAAAGTCAGAAGTCACATGACACCAGGTTACGGTCCATCAGGATTTTTTGAAAACACAAGCTTTCAGAGCGCTGCTCCTTCATCAGGTGAAGACCCAGTCTGCCATTTTTAGTAGCTCCAGAATCTTGCTAACTTTGTGAAAATTCAGCTTAAAGTTCAAATGATTAATCAGCTTTTTTTTCATTAATAATTCTCAATCCCTCAGAAGTGCTTAGGAAGATATTTTAAGTAAGCAACTGGACCATTTTCTATCTTAAATGTGCTCCATAAATACAAGATGTTGTGTTGCCTGCTGTCATTCACACCATTCTACCAAGCAGCCTGAAATGCCTTTTCACAACTGTGCTTAGAATGCACTATGTGACAAAATAAAGAGCTGATTACAATTCTACATGTTCTCTTATGACATGTTACCTGAATGGAAAAAAATATGCTATACAGTTAACCTGCTGTGAAAGTCTTGGCAACTGATTGCCCAGTTTACAGTAGAATACTCAGTCAAATTATGGGAACTAACATAACATAATTAATAATAAATGTGGTCCATGGTTCAACTTATTGGTGACATTGGTTGACAATCCCACTCTTTACACAATATTGCTTTGTCATGTGTCTTCAAGCTATCCTTGTACTTGATTATTCATCCAAGAATAAACAATGTTTCCCCACAGAAGATGTTTTCTCCTTCAACAAACCAGTTTCTTTCTAATTTGTTGGTGAGAGCAGTTGATTTATTGTCTATTTAGATTGGTTAATGTCTTTGCTAACTTGGCAATAATTTTGCTACAGCTTTAAAGCAGTACGTTCCAATTTTCTGAAATGGTTCCACTAAAGTCAGATAAGATAAAAGGTAAAAAATTCCAGAAATGTCAGCTGTTCAGCAGATGCCATATTAATCAGTTTGCACATATGCAAAATCTACTTCTGTAACTAGACTCGAAAGATATGCCAGCATCAGAACAACATTGACACATCCTCTATATAGGGAGAATATTGATGATAAACCACACATATATTGTGCCAATACTACAGCCTAAGTCTGCTCAAAGAAATATCTTACGTTTCAACTGATGAAACTTTTGATTCTTGCAACATTAAACTAGTTATAACTCAGATCAGGTTATCTTCTCTGGTTAATCAGGCAGTCTTGGAAATAATAGGATTTGACATTTGTAGAGCCTTGGTGATGACGATTGTGATCTTAAAACAGAAGCTGATTTTGAAAATTTTGATTGTGGATAAAACAGCTGGTTCACTGAGTTGCACGTCATTGTCAGAGGGCTGCCATTCTGAAGTCCTGTAAGATCCATTAGTCCTGTGCTTGCTGTCATGGTTTGGTTTCTGGTCCAACAATGTCACAGTCTTAAGATTTTTAGCCTATTTTCTAAGTCACCTAGGGGTCTCCCCTCTCCTTAACCTGCAGCCTTACAACCTTTAAAGAACATTTTGATCCTCTAAATTGGTCACTTGCACATCCCTAATTTTCACATTCCCCTGATTAACAACATAGTCCTAAACTCCAGAATTTCCTAACTAAGCCTTTGAACTTAACTGCAACTTCACTTAAATGCTAATTCTGAAATTAACCCAAGCTCTCTTTGCAAATTCAATGTGCTTCATCAAACCTAACCCTTTCTCATACTCATATCTCATTATGTGAGTCAGTATCAAATATTGTTTGATGATGTTCCCGTGAACTTCGCTGATCTACATAATTGAAGGTTCTCAGCTCCGCAATAATTCTTGTGCACCTATTCTGCATTCCAATGTCTTCACATTCATCATAAAATGCAGTTCCCAGAATGTGACAGAATATACCATCTGAGGTCGAACTAGTGTCTTGAACAGTTTCAGCATAGTCTTCCTGCTTTTGTATTTGATGTCACTGTTATTACAGTCTAAGCTACTGTATGCCTTATTAATCATTTTCTCCACCTGTCCTACCACCTGAAATAACTTACACATTGGTCTTTCTGCTCCTGCATATCCTCTACAGTAGTACCCTGCAATTTGTACTGTTTTCCCCTGTTCTTTCAATCATAATATATTATCTCAGATTTCTCAGCAGACTTCCAGCAGCTTTCCCAATACCAGAGTTAAACTATGCATTTCTTTACAAACTTCTTTGAACAAGGACATTGTTTTAGCAATTCTCCAGTTCTTTGGCCCTACATCTGTGTACAGGGAGATCTGAAAGATTACGGTCAAAAGACCTGCAATTTCTACTCTCACTTCCTGCAATATCCTTGGATGCATCTCATCTGGTCCTACTGTCTTGTTAACTCTAAGAACCAGCAGCTTATTCAACATGTCTTTGATATCAATTTTGATCCTTCTAGTCCCTGAGTTTCCTGCTCTACAACCATGGCCTGAGTAACGCCTGATAGACAGATGGACACCTCCATATGTAAATCCTTGTTTTGGCTGCTAATAAGCCCTACTCCTCGTTTTACCACTTCTTTATGTGCCTATAGAAGATTTTTCAAATCACTTTATTTTGGATGATGAAACTTTTTTTTAAATATTTTCTGTTTGCTTCTCTCATTTGCATTTTCACTTCTCTTCTGAACATTTTGTACTTGGCATTGATCTTATTTGTGTTTACTACTTGACACCTCTCACAAGTACATATTTTCTTTTCTAGCTTAATTTCTATCTCCATTTTCATTTTGGGAGTTCTGGACCTGTTTGTTCTACTTTTCCCTTTTGAAGGAATACATCTTGGATGTATATAAGCCAGTTCTTCTTTAGAGTTAGCCCATTGTTCAGCTACAGTTTTTCCTGTGAATCTTTGGCTCCAGTCTCTCTGGCCCAGCTCCCTTCCAGCCCCATTTATGTTGGCTCTCACCCAGTTAGTTATTCTTACTCTAGCTTGCCTATTATACTTTCCCAGCATCACCCTTAGCCTTATGATATGAAGCTTACTGTTCTCTAAATGTCCCTTCATTGACACTTGGTCAATTTGGCCTATCTTATTCTTAAGAACCAGGTTTCACAGTGCTTCCTTTCTTGCTAAACTGATCACATGCTGCTGTAGAACAGTTTTGTGAACATGACTTTTGAACATCTGTCCTTCTCTGCCCTTAGCATTACCATAGCACAGTCTATATTTGGGTAATTGAAGTCCCCCATTGTAACTACACTGTAATGTTTCCACCTCCCTGTAATTTGCTTGTAAATTTATTTCTTTGCATCCTGGTGGTCTGTAAACTACACCAAGAAATGTAATTACACCCCTTTTATTGCTGAGCTCTAGCCAGACTGATCCTGCCCCCTAGCCCTCCAAGACATCCTCCTTCTCCAGTACTGCAATGTTTTCCCTAACCTGCCTCCTTTTCTTTGTATTCTATTTTGCCTGATGAGAACTTCCATCCTGTCGCTATCAGTCTCTCTGTGAAGACACTTGAAATATTTACACCTTGTTGAATGAGGGTTTGTAACTGTGCACAAATTTTATCATTAATATTAACCATCCTCACTGCTTTGAGATGCTAATTTTGTAATCGGAGAAAGTTGAGATTCTTCATAATGATACAAAAAAATCTGAACTTTAATTTCATCATTAAATAATTTATTTTCAAATCATTTATCATTATTTTAGCATTAATCTTCATTCTAGCAAAATCATTTATTTTGTTAACTGAGAAGTTAAACTAAAAGTTAAAGCACGTTTAACTTCCTGATTTACAGTTAAACATTTTGATGTGATTGGCTACATATCTGCTTGATGATGTAACTGCTGCTGGACGTCTGGAGACCCTCTTGGCCAGATGTAAACTGATATTGGGAAAGGGCAAGTCCATGTCCTAGAGATTTCCAGGCTTTATTTGGCAACTTTGATTAAAGTCAGTAGCTGAGGTCTTTGTTTCACTGCTGACCAGAAAATCTAGGCCAGTATGTTAAAACATTGCAGTTTCTGTATAAAATGTCACTGAATGCAATTATGATCCAGTGCAGTGATCTTAAACACATGCAAACATATGTTCTCAATTTACGTTCTGGTGTACAGTGTTATAATGACAAATTAATTCATAAAGCAAGTCCTCTGTTAACTTACACATCGGGAACCTTTATATGTGTCCTTTATCCAAACAAACTGCAAGATCAAAATAAAATAAAGTGAGGATTGAATACTCAATAAATGAAGAATAAAAAGGCTATCCATATGTTATCCATCTGTTACTATTTTCTGATTTTCATAACAGTGCCACAAGACATTGTGTAAGTGAATAAGAATATGGATAAGATTGGACTTTATCCAGTGAGTTTTTTTAAAATAATAAACTCTTTGGAAATTTTGTTACCAAATTAAGAGTATTGTTTAAGCTCAAGTTCTTATTGATATCTGTGATTTTTTTTTTCTTATATAATATTTTCTGGACGGAAACCAAGCTGTTATTGAATATAATTATTTGGCCAGGGTGATACATTGGGTTATCAAGCTATCAAGTTTCTCCTGGAACCTGGATTTAAATGCAAGCTGAATTGGAACCATAGGGGCAGAACAAAAGTTCATTTCACCCATCAAATTCATCTTCTCCCTCCTTTTCATTCTCTGCCATTTACAGGGACATTAACTATAGTTATTTAGGAGATATTAATACAGTTCCAGGTTGCCTCAGTTTAGAATACAAAGCTACTCATTAAATTAATGTTAAATTGGCAAAGTCATTCATAACCCACAGGGATGATTGGTGTGAAAAATACAAGCAGTATTTCTGCCAACAGAAATAAAATAAGTCACAAGTACAGAATTCAACTGCAAATAATTGACAATTACCACTTTAACTTCCACAAGGAAGCCACTTGACCTTTGCAAATGACTTTTCTTTCCACTCCGCACAGGCGGAAAGCAGACGAAAATGGTGTCCACAGTAGCTAAACTGCAGAAGGTTAAATTCTCCACGTTGGCTATGCAAATGCTTGTGAAACAATTCACAAGGTTACAAAGAATATTCCTGGCCACGAATCCCAAAATGCACACTAGTGAGGGTCACCGACGTGGCTGGGACGTCATTACTGTAAAAGTCAACAAAATTTCCAAAGTAGCTCGAACAGCCGAGGACTGTCAAAAGCGCATCAATGACTTAAGACTTGGTGCTCGACAAAAAGTCGCTTTTAACAAAAAGAGAGGTACAGTCCAGCACAGAGATGTGGCAAAACAGAAAGTCCTAACATGGGAGGAAGAAAAAGTGGCCCCGATAGTCCACCTTGTGGAACGTGGACCTGATGCGTCCTCTGACTCAAGTGATTCTGGTGAGTGTTGCATTGTTTTATCAAACCCGTCATTGCTTGTGGCAAATATTGCAGCCTCAGCTATTAACATTAAGCATGCATTGCAATGATTATGTATGCAAGCCCTTCAAAGCATACCTAAATGTCCTTGCTGTATAATGAAATGCCAGCTTTCTTGTATTCAAAGCCAAGAATACAAAGCCTGTATTTGTACAAATCCTTTGTACAGGCTTGCAAAGCATTATTGTGATCTAATCCTTCATTTTATGCAGAGTCCATCACCAAGTAAGCCAAGGTCCTGTCTTTTTATCTTCACAGGTGATTGTTGCACCTCAAAACCCTTGAGATCAGAGCAACAACAAACCACTGAGATCATGGAGGAGAAGATGCCAACCCGGCATCAGGAGCCTAGAGTAGGCATGGAAGGTGCAGTGACCGACAAGTTACAACAAGCTTCATATGGGGAACAGAAAGAAGACTGCACAGGTGGGCAATGGAAAACAGCAGCTTACATGAAAGTGCCATTCTCAGAGAAATCAGAGCAAAGAGGGACATGTCAGCCAGAGACAACAGGTGCTGTCAATTCCTCTATTTCATCACATTCTCAAAGTGCACATGGTGAGGAGCTTTGCCCCATATGTCGTAGGTTAGATACACTTGTGAGCACTGTGCAGCGTGGGTTCAACCACATACACAGGGACATAAACACATTACAAAATACCTCACAGTACCGTGGAGCCCGGTTGTCCCAGAATGTCATGTCTCTGATTGGTGCAATGCACACTCTTGTGAGACTCCACCATTTTTCCACCTTGCCACGCAGAGATGTGGCTATTCAGACCTCCATCATGCTGACTGGAGGGCATCTGGGGGAAAATGTTGGAGTTGCATCTAGTGATACAACAACTGTAACAAGTAACAATGTAACAACCCTCAATAACACTGTGCCTACATCCAGTGATACTGTAATGACATCCAATGAAACTGGAGTTGCCTCCAGTGACACTGGGGTTGCATCAAATGACACAGTGATTGAAGTATCAGTTGATCCTGATGGGGACTCTGCAGAGAGTATGTCCATTGAAGAGTCCTCTCAAAATTCTTCAGACAGTGATTGGTAAAATCAGTTGACAAAATGGGTATGTGGAGTTGACTATTTGTATGTAGCTATTTCAATATTCATACACTTAGATTTTGGGTTATATATTTTACGTGGTTCCACCCATTTAGACAAGAGCATACTGGGTTAACATAATTTCTGCATGCATGTATCTAACAGTGGGTCTTAGTGTAAGGTTTGCAATTTTGTAATAAATAGAATGCCATTTTAAATGCATATAATATAAAATATAGACACATTGTCTTTACATGTCTAATATTGCTTGGAATTCGATGAAAATACTTTCCACTTCCACAATTATTAATGTTGTTTGTAATAAAAACAACTTCTATCATTATCTGTGTTGTTTTGTTGTTCAGAACCAAGGTTTTGTACTCGCTTTTTCATCTTTTCATTGTTATGTGTGTTGTGTATGGAATAAACATTTTATATCAGTCGCTCTTTGTCCTGTGCCTGCTTCTGTCCATGGCCTATCCCTTTCTTTCCTACTTTGTCTAAATTTTACACATCAGCCCCAATGTGGCAGAGTGGCCTGAGGCATCTAGAATTGTTGGTCTTGTGCAATTGTCTTTCATCCTCTGCCTTTTGCCTCATTTGTATTATTAACAAAGCATGCTGTTTGAATTTCTCCGTTTCACAGATGTGTTCTTTTTCATGGTCATATGTTTGCAGAGGTGTGTTTTAAAATTATGCTGTTTCACATGCTGAAAACTGGTTTGAATTTAGATGTAAAAACATAAAATTTATAAGCCCAAGTATTTCTTTCTTCTGGGTGTAGGTAATATATATTTTTAAATCTTCCTAAGTATATTTAATGCCCCATTTATTATGTTTGGGAAATTAATCTTTCATTACACTCCAAAATGAGATTTGTCATGCATATGCACAGAATCTAGTTCATATTAGGAGTTCTACATGTTGGTAAAAATTATACCCAGCATATGCATGACAGGCTTTTATATATATATATATTTGTATAATTAAGAAAAACACAACTGATTCTGTTTGCCACATGACCTTGTTATTCTGAGAATTATTCTATACGTTGGTTTCAACATCTCTTGCCCAGTGCTGCTTGAGTTAATTTCAGTATGCAAGCTCTGGACTCCATATACAGCTCTGGTCTCCATATTACAAGACACATCAAGAAACAAAGGGGACTCAGTGAAGACATTCATGAATCATAACAAAATTGAGAGGTCATAACTATTGGGAAGATCTGAATGGGCTGAGGCTCTTTTTTCGAGAAATGAGAAAGTTAGGGGTTGCCTATAGAGGACTTTATAATTAGGAAGGGGTTTGATAGAGTAGATAGGAAGAAGATTTTTCAGCTTTTGACTCTGGGTTATAAGGCAGTCATTAATATATCCAATATGGAATTTGAGAGAATCTATTTTATCGAAAGAGTGGGAAGAATGTGACTCTTTCTTCCTCATGGGGTTGGAGTAGTTGAGGTGAATATTATAGATACCTTGAAAGGGACATTTGATTTTTTCATGAGGGAGAAAGAAACAGGAGGAATATTTCGAGAAGTTGTGAAAGATAAGGTGGAGAGAAGTGTTATGTGAGACATAAAGACTAGAAGAAATTAGTTATACCAATTAACCTGTTTGTGTGCAGTAGATTGTGTTTAATCAAACTGCACAGCATCATCTTCCCCAGCAGTTTTCCATTAATGGTAGCAACCAATCTGGTTGTGACTGTTTCTATTTAAAATCCTCAAATTACTCTGCTTAGCGCAATGTAGATGCTGAACATGAGGAAAGATTTCTCCACTAGTTTTTAATGAGAATGGGTTGTTCTCTAATAACCTGTTAATTCGGAGGATTTTGAGACTGTCTTGTAAAATTTAGCAAGGGATACCCAAATCAGAGACACACAAGTGCAATGCCCATGCATTTTTCTGTTCAACCTCCAAATACACAATTATGTTAGTAAAGGCTGTAAGATTCTGCCTTCTTCCACTTGGGATGGAATTTATTTTCCATTTAAACCATTTATCCTAAACTTGAGGGAATGCTTGATGTTCATCTTGGATTGAAATTTGAACCAATGTTCTATTGCCCGGTGCTTATGCCCTCTACCTTAACAGGCAGAAAAAAAAGAAATAATTAGTTTATATTTACTTAAAAACAATTGCATTCTAACCTTGATGCTCTTAAGTTAAGGGTTAAGCCACTACAGTCTTATCAAACCATAGAGCTATTCTCTTGCAAGAGAGGGATGACTGGTGGTGAGGGGAGAGATCGAGAGCAGAATCCTTCATGGGACAATTGGATCTTAAAAGTTTGTAACTAATTACTCTAGATTTTCTTTTCTAATACAGTAGTCATAACATGAAATGCTATAGGAATATCACTGGTAATGTAGAACTAGGACTCAATTGGAATCCCACAGAAGGGAAAAGATAATTAAGTAAATAATTTTAGTTTATCTTAAAAAAAACTTACATCTTCTGGTTTGCAACATACACCTTGATGATTGTAGGGCAGGTACTGTCTCGGTGTGCATCTTGGACAATGTTGCGGCAGTTTGTTACAAGCTCTTTGACAGTCAGCTTGAAAGATCTGGAGATTATAATTCTTGTGATATTTGATAACTCGACAATAATTCATATTTTTGTCATACATTTCACTTGGTGAAGCATTCTAACTCACTTCACAAGGGGTGCGATCACCAAAGGTTTGCACCCAGCCAAAGAAAAATGCATTAGATCAGGAGCTAAGAGAATGGGTGTGAAGTGAAAAGATCAATTCCAGAGCTTGGGGCCTCAACAATGGTGAAGTAAAATAAGTGAGGTTGCACAAGGCAGCAGAGTTGGAAAACCACAGAACTCCTAGAGAGAACTGTTATCAGATTAAGAGAAATTTGATTTTAATTCCTACATGTTGAGAATCAAAATAGATAAACACTGTCAGATTAGCTCCTCTGTTTACAGATTTGCAAGATGGCAAATCATATTACTGTGGTTTCTCCTGAACTACAGCTTCTGCTGATTTATCCAGTTTTGTTTTACTGCTTTCTCCCTCATGATCCTTGAGGTTCTTAAATAAATGAAGGTGTACATTTGCTAGCCATGCCCATGCGAACTCAAAATGTGTGAGGGAGCTGGTGGCTTAACCTTGAGACTTACAATACCTTCATATGGTATTGAATGTTATCTGTAAGCCATACAAATACTTTTCAATGCAAATCTACTAGTTAACAACTGGAGAGGGGACATGTTTTTATGCTCCAGTCTGACCTCCACTGTCATCTATTTGGATCACTTATCTCAGAATAGGGATTTGACGGAAAGCCATCTTAACCTGTGTGAATCATTACTGCACTCAACATGTGCTATTATCCACTGCTCTAGCAGTGGATCAATGGCAAAGTTCTTCTTTAATAGCTCATATAGTTCTCCAAAAGCAACTCTGTTCATCCAGTGCCCAGCTTTTTCCATATTAGTTATGCAAAGTGTTTGTTTTCTACTTTTGGGGTGTTTCTTCCCCCTAGTTTCCTTTCTAAAGCCCCAATTGCAATTGCCCCCACGACATACTCTGGTAGTACAATCCAGATCCTGTGTAAATAAAGTTCTTCTGCATGTTAAAATTGGTTCTTTTCTCATGCGTCTTAAATCAGTGTTTTCTGGTTTTTAACCTTTCTGCTAAGGAGGAGAGCTTCTCTCTCCATCTTTCTCTCTTTCTAACAATTTTGAACACTTCTGTCAAATATCCCTCAACCTTTTCTTTTCTAAGGAAAACAAACTGAGCTTCTCCAATCAATCCATATAACCATCCATGAATTTCTTGAGGAAATAACATATGTTATGGATAAAGGGAAACTGGTCGATAGATTGTACTTGGATTTCCAGACGGTATTTAATAAGATACTATCTCAAAGGTTATTGTAGGAGATGAAAGCTAATAGGACAGGGGTAAATTAATAGAAAATTAGCTAACTAACAGGAAACAGAGAGTACGCATAAATGGGTCATTATCTGGTTTGAAAGATGAGCTGAGTGCTGTGTTACAAGGATCAATGCTGGGGCCTCAATGTTCTCCAATTTATATAAATGACTTGGATGAAGGGCCTTTAAGAATAAGGAGTTGCACATTTAAGAAAGAGTGAGGAGAAGATTTTTCTCCCAGAGGATCATGATTTTTTTGAAACTTTTTTCTCCCAAAGGATCATTATTTTATTGAAACTTTTTTCCTGGAAAGATGGTTATTGCCAAATTTGCTGACCACACAAAGACAGGTAGGAAAATAAGTTGTGAGGAGGAAATAAGGATGCTATAAACGGATATTGAGAGGTTAAGTGAGTGGGCAAAGATTTAGCAAACAGAGTGTGCTGTTGGAACATGCAAAATTGCCCATTTTGGCAAGAAGAATAAAAAGGAAGCTTATTAAGTAAATGGTAAGAGGATCCCGAGTGGTCTGAATGTCTGGGTGCATGAATTAGTGTGCAGGTATAGCAAGTAATTACAAAAGATCATCAAATGTAAAAGTTTATGACAAGGTGATTTGAATGTAAAATTAAGGAGCTTATACTTCAGTTAGACAGACCATTGGTGAGACCACATCCAGAATACTATGTATAATATTGATTGCCTTATTTAAGGAAGTATATGAATGCATTGGAAGATGTTTAGAGAAGGTTTACTTGACTAATACTTGGAATGGACAAGGTGGCTTATGAGGAAATATTAGACAGGCCAGACTTGTATTCTGTAATTGTACACCGACAATTCAAATACAGTGCTCTGGGAGACCTGCACTGTCAGAGGCTCTGTCCTGTTGGATAATCTAAGATCAATCTGCTTTCTTGGGTGGATGCAAAAGATCCACTAGCATTATTCCAAACAAAAGCAGGGAAGTCCTCCCCAGCTCCTGACTGATATGTATCCCTTAACCAATATCTCTAAATAATATATTATATGTTCATTATTACATTGTTGTTTGTGGGACCTTGCTATGTGCTAATTGTGCTGCCTCCCTTGTTGCAATCACAATGTTT